AACATAGCAAAACACCAAAACAAAAATAAATATTTAGGGAATATTAATATCAACTGAGTATTTTATCTACTGGGTAAGTTCATTTTGCTCATTGCTTGATGTTGATTTGGCCCTGAATTGTCTGGCACAAATTAATGCTACTTACACTAACTGTACTTTGCATGTGATTTGTTTGTCTGTTTTGGCACAGAATGTACCTTACAGTACTGAAATACAAAGTTTTACTGAAAAGTTGGGCCAAATGTAATATTATTTCAAAAATGCAGCTATTCATTGACAATTAAAGACAGGAGATTAGTAAATATGGTAAAAAGGGCCTAAGATATTACTCTGGGGGCTCAAGAACTTATCAGTGGTCCAAAATGATAAATGAAGAATTATAGTGTTGATTTATAGAGCAACTTTCATGTGAAAATATATCACATTTCGTAAACCTTAGAAAAAGATAACACTTGATCCTTATGGCAAGGATTCACTTCAACCCAGCACAAAGCCAGAAGTTAAACCTATCATCTCACCTCTTTGTTTCTATGAGGAATTTAATCATGATGCCGCTGACCTTTTGCTATGGATGGAAGAGAAGTACAAGATTGCATCAGATGAATCCTATCGTGATCCAACAAATGTTTTGCGCAAACTGAAGTGGCATGAGGCTGCTGAGAGGGAAATGATGGCTAATGAGGAACACTTTGCAACACTGATAAAGGTGAAGGCAATTTTTTTGGAGTTAAGTCTTCCATCTTGTCCCAAGCTCTTGTAGCCATTGATCTGCTCAAAACAATGATGTGCTGTGTCCCTCCAGAAAGGAAATCAACTAATTCAAGATGACCATTATGCTGCAGCTTCTATCCAGAATAAGATGTCAGAGCTGCAGAAGAAGTGGGATAAATTGTATCGCAAGATGATAGAGCGAGGTGACAAGCTGAGACAAGCTGGACAGCAAGAACAGCTCATGGAACTGCTCCAGGTTAGGAGGTGGTGGGATGCGTAAGGGATGGGATGCATTCCCTATGTCAAGGAATCTGGTTTCTCCATTTATACAAAGTGGTCCTCACACACACACACACAAAAAAGGGGCAGACACAGGTAAAAGTATATTTTAAGGTGTCCTAGTCTCAGATGGATGTCTGGACTTTGTCCACATACTCAGGAGAGAAAGCTGACCAAGAGGCTATAAAGCACCATAGCAGTGCCAGCAGAGCACCAAGAGCAGCCTGAGCTGAACAGCTGAGCAGCTGTTGAGCTCAGGTTCAGCACTGCACCAGTGGGGCCCTCCTGACAATTCAGGAACACAAGCAAAGGTCTCTGCATGGTTCTGCACTGTACAAAGGTATCCGCTTGCTTGGAGTCAGTTTGGAGACTGCAGCCTAAATTGTAGGTGTGTTATTTAGGGAAATTGAATGACAGGAATATTATGCTATGGAGTTTTTAAGTGCAATTTCGAGTCTCTAAATGTTATTTCATATTATGCCTCTTAAGATAGTTCACAAAGATGGATTTGGAACAATGTTCAGAAAGAGGAACAGTCAGGAGGCTGTTTTGGGAGGGATGAAGTGAAAGCAAATGATGTTGCAAGGTCAATACAAGTATGCTGTGGCCTTTGATAGGATGCTAAAAAGAAGATAGAGAAAATTGAGAAGGTTCTTCATGAGTCAGGGACAGGACATGATTTGCGCTCCAGCCGTGATCTTCTCAAGCAGCACAGGCAGCTGGAAAATGAGACACGAGAGCTTGCAGAGAAAATGAACTCTATTGTGTCTCATGCGAGGAAAATGGCCACCAATCACTTTGATTCACAGAGAATTCTGGATGAAACACAGAAGTATCTGGAAAGGTGAGATGCCACTTTCTTTTTGCCTTCATCACTGTGATAAGTTCATAAATCAGTGGCATTTTTTGTTCTGTCTTCTACAAGATGCCTTTCTATTGATTAGGCTTAACCTAGTCAATCTTTATTGATTAGGTTCTCCCTGTTCTACCACATCTGTGTCTCCGTCTGCACCTGCTACCTGCTCACGCGCTTCAACCTTTACTATTGGACCTTGCTTCTTGCCTGTCATGCTCCTTCTGCTCTATCCTTTGCTTACCCATAAGTCATCCAGATGCTTCTTAAGTGATGCAGTTATCTAGTGTTCAGTAGTGAGTAGCTTAATTAAAACATCTCAGGACAAGCCTGGGATTTCAAAAATGTGAGTCTTTTTTTCTCTGTTTTTCTTGTTATTGTATAACATGCAAAAAGTGGTCTGTGATTTTTTTTTCCCAAAAGCCAGTTTAACTGGCTGTAAACCAAGGCATTGACAGTGTGTTAATTATATTTTTTTTATTTAGGTATAGTCTTACTAAATGGAAGATGAGGGTGCTGTTAACTATCCACTAGCAGTGTCTGTTGCAGCAGACATACTCCATGCAAGGCTCTATTTAGTGCAAAGCCCTGTCATCAACATTGCAGTAGCACATGGTCCTGCTTCTATTTTCTCTGCCTGCTTTCCTTTTAAACATGATATATCTCTTCTGTCAAATTCTTTTCATACTTGCCAGCAGCAGCCTTATTGAGAAGGCCTTATTGAGCCTTATTTGTATGTGCAGGCATCACTAGCCATAGGCATTTAATTGCAGAATGGGCCCACTGGGATCACAGCCTAATTCTTTTGGAATTAAGGTGTCAAAATAAAGCTTTCTTTTAACATATATCTTAATGGGTGACCCTTAGATTTGAGTCTTTGCAAGCACCTCTTGATGAGAGGCGTAAGTTACTGGAAGCTGCAGTGGATCTCTATGAGTTCTATCACTATCATGACATGGAACTGAACTGGATTAATGAGCGACTGCCTATCGCCCATTCCACCAACTGCGGGAAGTCCTTGGATGTGGCTCAAAGCCTGCTGCAAAAACACAAGGTAACTCCATTAATCAGATGTGTTACAGCATGATGGTATGCTGCATTTCATCTCAGTTTGCAAGTCAGCAGCTGCAGAGTTCTCCTTTGCTTCTAGGGAAGCTGTTGCAATCACAACCCATTACTAGACAATCATCAAGGTATAGTTCCAGCACTATCTTGGTTGAAATGGTTCTAGCAGACTGAGACAAGTCTGCAGTGTGGTGGTGATTTTCAGAGTTCCTGTAGGAACTGCAAAATTTATCATATTCATATGTACTCATACTGTATTCGTACATGTATTCATACTGTATTCATATTTTGAGTACAGCAAAAGTACATTGAGGAACCTTCACGTTAAAGATATATCTGCTTATATTTTATATATATATGTATATATATACACATCATTATTTTTTGTGCAGTGGTCTGCTTATTTTAATTCTGTACATAACTGCTCTCATGATGCAAGCAGTGTCATCCTGAGCTATTTACATGCTAGATGTCCTAGCACAGCATAGAACTGCCATTTAATGTTTACTTTAGTTAATACAATTGTTTCTAAAATGTTTTGAACAAGCAGTAGTCAATATATACATACAGGCAGGTTAACACTGATTTCTAGAAAGTTTGGTTGTTTGTAGCAGCTCCTCAAAGGCACAGGAGCCGCTCAGAGCTTTCCTGCCAAATTGGCAGTACTAATTTTTATAGCAGCTGGATTGCAAGTTCCATAGGAAAGCATGTGTGATCAGTGGAGACTTTATGGAGCAAGAGTTGGAAGTCTGACAACATTCATGGTGGCACAGTCCTGTTAACAGGGTCCCTCTTCCCAACATCCTCCAGCCCATTCATCTTTTGAGATATTTTGTTTTCTCTTATTTCTGAATCCCCCAGCTCACCGATCCCTTGTTTCCCCTGCTCCATCTCTTGAACCTGCCTGTCAGCTGGGGACTTTGGTGAGGAGAGCTAAAGGTGGAGGGAAGATGATGGGAGATGTCACTGTGCTGACTCTGTCTGCTTCCTCGGTGGAAGTACCAACAACACAGTATTACATAATTGGAGCTGGGACAGGCAGCCCAGGTGACAGCTCTTGCAGAAACAGGCAGTCATTGTATCCACTGCAACTTCTGCAGTCTGGCCAATATCACCAGTTTTGCTTATGTTTAGAAGAGCACATAGAAATGTCTTTGCCCTCTCACGCCCTTCCTTTCATTCTCATCTTCTTCTCTTCTTATTCCTAGGAATTTCAGGCAGAAGTGAATGCCCACAAACAGCAAGTCCAACGGGTCCTGGATAAAGGAAGAGCAATGGTTGTGAGCCAGCACCCCTCAACTCAGAAAATAAAAGAGAAATGCCAGGAGCTTATGACTGTCTGGCAGGATCTGGAGAAGGCCTGTGAGGAAAGGATGAAGCAGCTGCAGCACTCGATTGGCTTCCAGGAGGTACAACAACAGCCAAGTGCTTATATAGTAGCTTCTTCAGACAAATAGGAGGAGCAAAGTTTTAAAGTAAATAACAAAACAGTTTTAATGTCTTCCTCTGCTGGAGCTGAAATTCACTTCAAACTCATGGGAACGGAGGGTTAGTCTGCACAGCTGAATGCAGTCCCCAGTCTGGAGCTCGTGCTCTAGAGATGTGACTTGGATGCTGTACCCAACCCTTCAAGCCTGGGTGTAGGATAACATTTCTCAGGAGCCCTATGCAGGCTCAAGCTTTAACTTAAGTACTACAGTGGGTCCTGAAATGGCCCAATACTGGAGTATTGTGACAAGTAAATAAGAAATAGATAACTCTTGTACCATCCAGTCCCTGCTTATTCTAGGCCACCATAACATAAAATGATATTCAGAAACTGATAAAGCTATAAAAAGCCATCTCAGAACAAGGTAGGAGTTTTGGTCCTACTGTTTCAGCACGATACTGGATATGAAGTTTAGCCTGTTTTCTTTTTTTTTTAAAAAAAAAGGAATCACATGCAAATATTCGCCTACCTCAGCCAAATTTTCTGTCATCAGTGGGTTGTTATCAATGCAATTACCATGCTGACAGATGCAGCTGCTCTGAGCTAACATGCATATCTGAAGTACGTTTCCTGGAGAATTTGCTTATCTCTGGTTCTTATTTATTCTGTCTGTAAAACCAGCAATCCGCACTGCAGCCTTTATGAACCCTGATGTTCATAGGTGGCTTGAACTTCTCAGAAAGGACAAAGAAAAATACTATACTTTGATATATGGTTAGTACCTTCCCTTAGTGAAGGACAGGGAGAGTCAAATAAGGACACTGATGTGAAGAAATGTGACAACTAGAAACTTGAGCTTTGATATCTAGAGAAAGGGCTTAAATATCTTGCACTGAAGTCTTCCATCTGTGGCCTTCTTCACCTGCCTAAGATATTGCAGAGCAACAGTATGCATTAAATCCTCATAGCACATTCCAGTTTATAAACAGGTTCTGTAGCTTCATTTGCCGTTTAGAAGAGCATTTTTCAGTAAGTGAAATGCTAACTAATCGTTCCCTGAATTCACTGCGTAGCAGAAGTGACAGGTAGCTTGGACCGTGACTCTTAGAATTTAATCTGGTTCTGTGGAATGGTAGTTCTTGGGATTAAGTATTCTTCATTTGTTATTCTATATGGGCCTCACAGTAAACTTCATAGTGTGCCGTCCGGTTAGAAATCTTTAAATCAATAAAATGGCATTAATATTATGGATATTGAGGGAGAAACAAATTTGCCTTATCTTTAACTCATAGTTTTTAATGAACACCTCAGACCTGGAGGCTTGGATAGCAGAAAAACGCCCACTTGTGACAAGCAAGGACTATGGTAAGGATGAAGATGGAACACTGAAACTCCTCCAAAAACATAAGGTATTTCAAAACATGAAGTATTTCAAAATATATTTCAAAATATTTTTAATAATTCTTGAAGAATTCAATATGGAATGTTCTTAAGAAATAATTGCCACTGTAAGATTTGGGTAAATTGGTGGTTCAAGAAATCTTGGATATTTTCAGTCTGTATTATCATGCTCTGGAATGCCAGTGCCTCAAAGGTTCATAAGGATCATACACTCATGTTAGGTGGTGCAAGAAACACAGCATGTTAAATCAGCTCTCTCAACTCCATCAGACTAGGGAATGGTGTTGACTAGCTGCTAAATCCATATTCTAAAGACTTTCTTGAGTGAAAACGCCCATTTGTGAGGTGGGATTTTGGAATGGTAAGGGAAGGGTGAAAATGCAGAGATCTGTTCGTGATGGGGCTGCTTTTATCTCTTCAGGAAAGCTTAAAGCTCAGTGCATCTGTGACAGGGTTTCCTTCTCTCCAGTGGAAGCTGGGAGATTCAGTTTGATGCTGTTTACACATAGTACTAAACCCTGCGTTCAATAATCACTTCATTCTTCTTTCTAGTTCCTCTATCTGAAAATTGGTGTTAAAGGAGGTCAAGGGATCTCTGATTAAATTCTATATACTGGCAGAATCTACAGAACTGTCTGCCTTTGTGAAGTTTTCAGTTTCATTGATGCTTAATTGTCCAGTCATCTGCAAATTTTTTTACACTGTCATACGCCTGTATTTGTATGAACACATAAAAAAGATATATTCAGTTTTACTGAAATAGATAAAATATGATTTGGGGAAAAAGGAGAATGGTGAATTTTCTCATCATATTTTTCTAAAGACAAAACTGGCCTGATATCTGCTTTTCAGTCACAGCAGAGATACACAGAAGCTGTAATTTTGCCCTAAAATTGCAGCTAGAGTATTAGTGTGGGAATACCATTCTCTGTCTGACAGTGTACCAGAATTTTCTAGTTAGTTTGGATTCAGATGCAATTTCCCCTTCTATCCCCAAGAAAACTCATAGAAAATTATACAAAAATGACCAAGTCTGAGAAACTAACATAATTCCAAAAAGTTTTTATCTTCTTTTAATAGCTTAGTGATCACACCAGAGGTTGGACAAGTGGCTGTTACTCACTCTTTTCTCTCTTCTCTCTGCCAGGCACTGGAACAGGAGATCGCCGTTTACCAGACTTTCATGAAAGAGCTGAGTGAAAGTGCCCAAAGTCTTCCTCTTTCGGGTTCTGTTCAGTATGTTGATGTTGATGGCCCAAAGGACCAAGCTCATTCAAAACTCCAGGAGTTGCAGGAACTAGCAGCAGAAAGGTATGAACTAGAAAAATATATATGGTGGCTCACTTCCACATGCATTGTCCCTTAGTTCTTAGGTTTAATTCGAAGCTCGCTGAAGTCAATATGGAATGTCTACAGTTACCTTACTGGGATTTGGATCATATTCATTTTCTCTTTTAAATTGTAAATAGGAAATTGCTTGCTTTTGTGTTTGAACGCTACACAGTGCTGAGCTTGTTACTACTGATAAGCAAGAACCCTACATTTTATTCAGGTTGCCCCACTTCATATTAAGGATTTGAAATTTTCCTTTTCCCTTCGTCCTCCTCCAGTAAAGACACTTGAGATGCTTGGTTCTTACTAGCTGTCCTGGTATCTAGAATCCGTCATCAAAAGGAAATAAATTATTTTAGAAAGGTTTCCTTAGCATTGCTTGTAAATGTCTTGATTCATTACACAGCAGGAGAGCAGTAATGACAGTTACACTTACCTTTATGCCTACTGGCCGTGCTATGATAGGAAGGCTTTTATTCTTAAATTAGTCATTTACATTCCATTTCACTTCCATTGTGTTATTATTAAAGTAATATTTACAACAAGACAGTTTGCTTGTATCCAACTTTTTTAAACGTCAACAGGAAGTTTGTTGACAGAAAGGAACAAATTTAGCTTTTTGCATTACAAAAATTTCCTTTAGAAAACAGGTGGGGCTTAGTAAGTGGAATAACCAATAAATGAGTCTGAAAAAATCTGTTTTTTCGCCTTTATTTTGGTGTGCAATTAGAAAGCATGAAAAAATCTTGGGAATGAAGAGTTCACAGAAAGAAAGATTTATTCAGTCTATAAACATCAAAACACTTGAGTGTGCTGAATACAGAAATGTTTTGTGTTGCTTCATGCTTAATGATAACCTGGGTCTCATTGTGCTTGACTGGTACTCTGGTTTGTATCTCCTATCTGCATTCTCCTTGGTGGTCTGGATTCTCTGAGCAGACTCATCTCTTGTGATAAACATTTGAGACTTAAACAGATGGAAGTCTGATTCATCTTTTATGGAACATTTGCACAGTAACTAGGCAGTGTTAACAGATGGGTAATTGGTATTTTGTTTACTGTGCAAGGACTATAACATTACTGGCTCTATTACAAGATACCGTAGACAAATAGGGATGTATAACAGGTTGCAGCAATTTTGCTGGAAAGGCAGTGTAAGCAGAATTGCATAAAGTGGCTTTCATCACACTTGCCTTGCTGATGTGCCATTGTCAGTTATAAAGTTTTTCTTCTCATGTTCATTAGTTCTACAGTTATCTTTAGAAATTAAAATGACTGGGGAAAAAAAAACAAGGGGATTTTCTTAACAAAATAGAGTTGAGATAGTCTCTGAACTGTGCTGGGCTCAAGCTAAGCAGTCGCCCTACAAGCATCCTTTGAAATCTAGAGAACAAAAATGATACTTTTCATTAAAGAGAATGAATCTTTGTAGGGAGAGGTTTGAGGGTTCAGTAGGAAGAAAATCATTCGTTGCCCACCTCTTTAGTTTCCTCAGTCTCATTTGCCCTGTCTTGTCTCCTTTTCACAACAGAGGGAAAAAGCTGGATGAGACTCTTATCTTGCATGAATTCCTGCGGGAATATGAAGATCTGCAGGACTGGATCACTCAACAGAAACAAGTGGCCAGCTCTGAAGACTACGGTAATGACTATAAGCATGTCTTGGTGAGTTTTTGAACAACAGGTGGAAAATCAATGGAACTGTGTGGAGTGGGACTGTTAAAAGTTACAGCGTTGTGCTTGAAAGCATAGAAAGCAGCATAAGAAATCAGAAACTGGAAGGGGTGTCAAGAGAAGGGGAACGAGTGGGTGAAAGAATTGGCTGGTAACGATAGGCAGACAGTGTTGCCTAATTCATGCATCCTGTTGCCAGAGGGCTGGGCTACACAGAATAGCTGCATGCTAAAATATCTACATCTTCAGAGATTCAGAGTTTAACTACAACCTGTTTTTAAGAACGAGATATTTAAATGTGTTGTCTACTAAGGAGAATTACACTGCTAATGTGATTAAATTGTGTGTGCAATCTTAAATGCCGAGGTATAGACAGCTACAATTATACCAACCAAAATACTCGTTTTTATCATTTATTTTAAAATATCTTTTGTCCTAAATCTAGAATTAGCATTCACTTACAGTTGTGAACACACATTTATTTTCATGATTTAAGCACATAACGTTTAATAATTGAAATTCATTGAAAAAACATGCTTGTTTCTGTGCCCCATGACATGATCCTGCCTTCAGACCTCATACTATAAATCTGCAGATCATTATGGTCCTTGGGGGTAAAATTTAGTCATTAACATTCTCTTCTACATTTTCTTCATTTCTAAATACGGTTCATTTTCAAATATGATTACTTTTCTCTGGGCTGTTTTCTCACAGCTAAGTAGGTATGTTTGGTAAAAACAGCAGTCAAAATGATTTCTTGTTGTTGTTTTTCCTTCATAAGCAACTTTGTGCCAAATATGACATATTCCAACGCCAGTTAGAAGCAGCTGGGAAGAGAGTTGTGGCTTGCCAGCAGCTAGCAGAAAACTTGCTGAATCGTGGCCATTCTGACTCCAGGGAAATCCGTCAGAAGCAGAAGGAGCTAAGGTAGGAGACTTGTGCTAGCTGTACAGTGATTTCTCCTTTCAGCTCCCTTGCAAAGAGGAGGAAGTGAGAAAAAAAAATAGAAAAGGGCAAGGCAGTTACTCCCAATTCTCTAATTGCAAAGTGTGTGGTTTGTTCACTGGCACATAACTGCTCCGTGCTTCCTTTGAAAATAGACTACTGTAATGCAGGCTCTATCTCCTTGCTGATTTGGCTTCTTGCAAATTCCATCAGAGACAGTTTGCAAACAAGGGGTCAATGAACTTCCTTTGCCGTTTGAAACAAGATCACCTAACAGAAAGTATGGAGTTTAGTTGCACCTTTTTTGCTTCTGCTTCTCAAGTTTGAATTCCTTGTCTGCTCTGTGCAGCCATTAAGATCATCTTCTCCTCTCATACTGTCTGGCACTAGTCTGAACTGGCCCCAAAGTAAGGATGAAGGTGTTGGGATTGAGTGTGGCTGCTTCATGTAAGAGAGGAATTGTTGTCCTCCTCTTAGAGCACGTCTATGCGCTTCATCCAGAAGTCAGTCTTTCTACCCTTCTTCCATGTAGTTGCATCAGATTGTAGCATATTAATCCTGAAGGGATGTTGGAGAGGGGTGTCCTTACATGGGGGCACCCACATAAATACCTGGAGCAGAGGAGGACATGGATTGAATAAGGTGAGGGACATGTTCTGCTTTGGCATAATTTAATGGCAGGGCTGAACAAAAAATTGAAAAAAAGGAGGAGATCTGAAGCTTTCTTCACACTGGCAATCTCACTCTTATTTTGTACGTTTTACATGTTTCCTCTGCTCGTATTCCTTTGTAGAAACTCCTGGGAGGAACTATTGGAAATTACCAGGTTGCGGGGTGAGCGACTAAGAGATGCTGAAGCAATTCACAGGTGTTACCAAGACCTTACAGATGCTCTGGCCCATATTGAGGTAAACAAAAACATGGCAGGGAACTTAATATAGTGAGAAATTTCATTTCATTTTAATTTGTAGAGTATAATAATTTTCATCATGCCTACTGCTGATTTTTCTGTATTCTCAGTGAGAAACTGCATCTTACTTAAGGTTCTCAAAAAGTCCTGAGTAGTCCTTAGGTGCCTGACTGGACAGTTCGTGATACCGCTGGTAAAGCTATGTCCAGTCAGAGTTACTTTTTTTTGTGGGAGAAGCTGAGTGACCAGGCCTTGAACTAAACTGTCTTACAGTGTAATACAATACAGTATGTTTTAATTTTCACCTAAACTGACCTTATACAAATGTTGAACCTTTCTATTCTAGTGACAGTGTCATCCTCCAGCTGAAATGCCCTATGCTTTTCCTTGCCCTGCTGCTAGTGCATGTCTACATAACAGCTATGTGCCGCTGAGAACCTTTGCTGAGCTAAATAAATGTTGAAGTCTCCTCTTATATGATGGTCTCTTAGTTTCTCTTGTCTTTGCAATAATCCTTCTTTGCATGTGCCTCTCTTGAAATTCCTCTCTCCTGAGCAGGTTTAATACATTTGTATGTAAAAATAGTTCACAGACTGTCAACACACATGTCAAAGAAAGGCCAGAGACTACTGATTTTTAGCGCTACTTTAGGAGTTCACAAATGGTCACTAAAATAGCTATTTAAAATAGATTCTCAAGACTTTTTGTGAATAGCCTAACCAAGAAAAGACTTGAAATTGGTCTCTTAGAGCTCAGCTGAATAGCTTAATCACTGATGTACCAATATAAGGGTAGATGTGCTAGGAGGGTTTTTCCGGCTTCCCTCTTGGGTAACCAGGAAAGGGAGTCCTTACCTGTTCAGTCTGTAGAACACTATACAAAATGACTAAAATAGCCTACTAGTGTGTTTTGTTCTGGAGAATTTAATGAACAAAGCATGCACTGATTCCTTCTTTTTTAGGAAAAATCCAAAAGTATTCCAGATGACATTGCCAAGGACATGAGAGGAGTGCAAACCCAGCTCCGCAACCATGTGGCCCTGGAGCATGAGCTTGTTGGGAATGAGCAGCAGGTAAAGAAAGTAATTCAACATCTTTAATGTGAAGCCAAAATCCAGATTTCCAATAGAACCATAGTAATAATTTGCTATTATGAGCTTACCTGTAAGGGCCTGGAAAAGGCCAAGGGTCTTCCTCAGAGTCTTCTACTTTTTAAATATGTTCAAGATCTGATGGAAATGATGAAGTGGGTCATTTTAAAACCTTAAAAATAGGGGAACATGTTATAATGAATGCTGACTTCTGAAGTGATTCATATGAATGCTTCTGATCACTCTTTGACGCGTGTGATTATACCAAGCTTTGTGATGTGCATACTCCTTTGTTCAAAGCATTCCGGGTAATTGCAAGGAAAAATCCACAATCTGTTCTATGTGCGTAGAGATTCAATATTTACTGAACACAAATGAATAATTGACAACAGGGGATTAAAGAAGGAAGGGTGAGGGAGCAGTCTGGGAATTTCAACAAGTTTAGGGGCCTAGAGATTGGACTGTGAAAAAGAGAGAAGAGGAGGGCTTGTTATAGAAACTTGTGAAAAACACAAGCTCATGAGCACAGCTGTTGCTTAGAAAGCTTCATCTTATATAGTAGATTTGCTTAGCTTCAACTAGACCAAAAATTCAATACAATTTTCATCCTTTTGTTAAGAAATGTAACCTTAAAGTTAATACAGCACGTCTTATGTTGAGATTACTAAATTGTCACTTATCAAGTGGCCTGATATCTTAGCCTTATGGCAGGTAAAATTAATCCCATAAGGTGCTTACTACTTTTCAATCTAAAAGAGCATGAGATATGCATGAAAAGAGAATATAGTCACAATTGTTCCAAACACCACGGAAAACAAGATATAGGTAGCTATTCTTTGCATTTGTTTTATAGTATATTCTTGCAAGGATCCAATTTCAGTAAATAGTATAATAGAAAAAAAGAAACAAAATCTATCTTCCTATTTGAAAATTGCTGTTGCGATGAGCCCTGGCAAACACTGGATGTCACTGTTATTCCACGGAACTGAACTGAGAGAAGTTTTCTTTAAGCATGGGAAAACTTAGGTCCGACAATGTTGTTTCAATTGTGGTATCATGCTCAGATAACTTAGCCCTTGTCGTCATTTTCATAATGTTAGCTGGATCTCTGTGACCCTCTTTCTTCCCTTCTCCTTTCCTCCCTGGTGTAGCTGCAGGAGTTGATTCGCTCTGCAGATCACGTGCTGGCCCACTGCTCCAAGAAACAGGTGGCAGACCTGAAAGCAAAGCAGCAGGCCATAGTGACAAACTGGAAGGCCCTGAAGTCTAAAGTGGAGCTGCGCAAGGAGCTTCTGGAGCAGGCGCACAAGCTTTACCAGTTTCAAGCACACGTAAGCACTTCTGTCCTCTAGCACACAGGGAAAGCTGCCTTCAGTGTGTGTCAGGCCTGGGTGGACTTCTGAGCCACAAAGGTTGAGGAGTTATCTCATTCAGCTAGTATTTAAGTGCTTTCAGCTATTTAGAAAGGTGTTAGAGCATAAGGATCCTAAGAGTAATAAAAGAGGTGTCAGCTTCCCGTTTATAATGTGCAGAAGTTTGTTCTCTCTCTCCCTTTCTTTCAACTTACTTACTCTATACTCAGTGCGTGCAGTAGTCTTCTGTTAATTTACTTTATAAAATGCATTAAACACAACTCACTGGTCTTTGCTGCATCATAGCAGTAGCATTTCATAGTGACTTATGTATTATGTACAAGACAGCATTATTAACTGTAAGGCATAATAGTTATCTCTCCAAAGAGCTCAGTAGGCCATAGAAAAATAAGTGAATGATGATAGTTTCAATGAAGTCCATTGAGTTGCTCTGTCATAAATAAGTGGATTATTGCTGCAAATTGTACAAAATTTTGAGTCGCCCTTGTATCACACGCTGTATAAGGTATCGAGGGGAGGAAGTCTGTTCTTTCTAATATGAATGCTGACTATGATGTTCCTGGCCTCAGGCAATTCCAAGTGTAGCTTTGATTGTAGGGATTATCGGCATATAGCTCGGAGGCGTTGCAGTTGTTTCCAAGCTGCAGTCGTTCCTATGCTATTTCCATCATTTCCGGGAAGCAGAGAATAGCCAGGCTGTGTTCACCTGGATAAAATCTCCCGTATGTTTGTCTTAAGGGTGTGACCTGGGAGCACAACCACAATAGATGCGACATGGTGCTTTTGTGTTAGCATGAGAGGCTTCTGTGTATTAGGTTAATCCACTTTAAGTGTAAAGTATTAAGCCTAGCTAAAAGTAAAGAATGCTTGTGGCACCGTTTTTCATGTATTTTTCTTCTTAGCTGTTAAGACTTCATTTTATGAAAAGTTCTTGTGTGAACATGTTGAGAAGGAAATAGAATAAATTAGAAATTAATTCAGGAAAATTAGAGTGGTTCTACAAATGTAGATGAGAGGTCCATCTGCTCAGGATCCTCTTTCTGACAGCGATCCAAAGCAGACATCTAGGAAAGACTGTAAGCACAGGGCAAGCTTTTTCTTATATGTAATTTTCTAATATATGTTACCTTGTGGAAGTCTTCAGTGTGGGGGCAGTGTCATTAAGGAGTCTATACTTGGGTAGATTTGTCCATTAAAACGCAGTCACTCTTTTTGTGTTGATTTCTTTTTAAATTGATGTCATATGCTCAGTTACTGACTTCAGATAGAAGATGTCTTGTTGGTGAGGTTTGTTGTTGTTGTTGTTGTTTCTCCTGCTGGAACTGTACACAATACAAACACCCCCTGATTTGGATTTTTTTCTGAAATCTGTAATCCATCCTATCTGAATGGAAACCTATAATCATTGCTTACTCTGGCAAAATGCATCCTGTCATCTGCACTGCTGACTTTACAGGCAATAAGCACTGTATGTAATGTACAAATCCATCAGTACTTAACAGAGAAGACTATACTGTCATTAAAGCATTTTCTTAATATCATAAAGCACAATCATAAAAGCCAGGTGACTGCACTCCCAGTGATATATCCAAAAGAAATGATGCCCCAAGCACCTCTCTCTTTTCTTCGGTGCCATTTCTTGTGAGCTGACAAGAATTTTTTCTCTTGTCTCAGTTTTAACCTCCTTTCCTGACAGTAATTGCCCCAACAGTGAAGAATGGTTTGGCATATTCCTGTGACTCCATCTTTCTGCCCAGATGGGACAAGACAAGGTTATCTGGTCAGTGGTTCCAGGTTAGGTTAGAGCAGGTTTGCCACAGAACTTCTTCTAAACTGCTGAGCATGAGAGGCAGCCTTGCTTGCTTTCCTCCTTCAGATGTGCCAAGAGGTCTGCCAAGTTACTTAACGTTAGGCTGCCCAGTGTATTTTTTTTCATCAGTTTTACTCGCATGCAGAGCCCATTGGCCTTTTTCATTATGCAGTTCTACATGGATTGAAAAACAGATCAAAAATGAAACATCCACAAATCTTTCCATGAAATGAGAATTCTGCACAATCATCTAGTGTATCATCTCCTTGCTTCCCATCACGTATGATTTCACCTGATTAAACAGCAGAGCTCATCATATCTGACTGCAGGCAGTAACAGCAGAGGGCTCCAAATCTTCCAAGAAACTCTAAGAAGGAATCAGAATTTCGAATTACACTTAAAGTGTTGCTGAGTGCTCTGAGGCTCTTGTTCTGAAGTTTGTGCTAGGATCTCCATGGTCTCAGTCTAGCTCTGCTTAGGAGTTTCTTGTAGTCAGATGCCTACTCTGTCCTTAAATGTTGCTGGCAGTGGCAGGCCAGCAGCCTCTTGTTGGCTGCTGGCTTGTTCCATTGCATTAAATTTATGGATTTATGGATTTTTCCCTGTTGCTTAACTTAAATCTCAGGGAATCTTAGATATTTGCACTGCCCCGAATGCAATGTCACATGAATTACAGTTCTGCAAATCAAAATGATGCCAGCACATGTGCACTAATTGGGCCCATTTAAAAGGACCACGGTCACTAGAAAGACAGTAGCCGTGTTACCTAACTTGAAGGAACAAAAGCATCTTGCTTTAAAACCTAAACTCTTAGAACCCCAAACTGCACAGGTTCCATTTTGTGGTACTTTTTTGAAAAGGTTTGTTTCCAGGAGGGCAGTTCACTAGCCAGCTTTAAGCTTTACCAAATTTTAATAATGCAGATAAAAATCTATGGATAAAATGGAACAGGCAAGAAGCTATTTCCATTACGTATTTTCCCTCAGCGGAAAAAACAGCAACCATTCACTAGGGAGAGTTTTAACTTTCTGCAGTAAAAGAGTGTTTTTCTTTAGCACTAGTTGCCTGTGACGCTCTTTTAAAATACAGTAAAAATCTAAAAGACCGTTTACTTTCTTAGTTCAAATAACCCAGGCACCATTAAAATACAGCGCAACTATACAATCCCCTGCGTATTCTCTCGGTGTCCTATTTTTACCAAGTGACATATAGGCAACACATATTTATTGCAGATTCAAATGAGATGCCAAAAATAAGTGGGCTGGTAAAGGTGCTATAAATCAAGAGCAGAAAATGCCACAAAAAATGTCAAATTATTTTTAGTTGCACAAGTTTCTTCAGTTGCAAAGTAAAAGCAATCCTCAGGGTTTTGTTCAAGATTTTTCTTCCTAATAATTGCCTCAGCTGAATGCTTCAGACATTTCAGCTATTTTAAATGTATGTGTGTTTATTGATTTTTTTTGTCAATTTGAGAGCATCATAGCAGTAAATACTTCTTCCAGAATTACATTCTATGACAACCTCAGTCATATAGTTCTACAAAGCACGAGTTGAAGCTGCATATCTGATATGCTTAACCAATTTCTTGTGGCTATGTTTGCATTTTTTCCACCTCTATTCAAGTGAGTTCATTTTTCTTTCACCTAACAATTTTCACTTCTGTCTTTCATTTTAGAATATGTATACAACCTGAGATTTAAATGGACATCTATTAGTCTAAGAAAAGTGAGCTGATATATTTTTATATCCTCCGAAGAAGAATAACTCCAGGAAGCACTTAAGAAATGATGGATTAAAGAGCTATAAATAATATTAGTTTGTCACTGATATGATACAACACAGTTTGCTTATGGTTATGACATTACAAAAATATATGTGACTTTTTAGCACAGTACATAGACATTTCAGTAGTCATGTTGTCCTCGCTTAATAAACTCATGAAGGAGCTACAGACGTAATGAAATATTTCCCTTTTTCTCTGTGATTTTACTCAGTTTATTATTCACTTGGAGGTGAAAAGTGGGACTATGATTTTATTGTCCAATAACCCAAGCTTCAGATCTAACCTCAGCTTTCACATTTTCTTGGGTTCCAGGTGTGGGACTATTTCTCCTGGGCAGCAGAAATGATAAGGGAAATGAAAGCCAAGGAGACCATTCGGGACATATCTACTAGCAGCCTGAGACTTACCCAACATCAACAGCTATTGGCAGAGATTGAAGCACGAGAAGAGAAGTACAACCATGTGGTACAGCTAGGACAGTCACTCTTGCAAGATGACAATTTAAGAACAAGAGAGGTAATTAAAATATATTTGAGTTCAAAATCACAGATACTCAACTGCTAAGTACCAGTGTAACTATCATTCTGTACTGTATAATGTTGTAAGCGTACACATCTATACTCTCACATATCCATATGCATGGTCTACAATTGCCTCAACATACTATCTACCTTGATATTTTCTGAGCAATGGAGTTATTTCTACCCACTTCCTGAACTAGGTTTTCACACAAATTCTTTCCTGCACATTACAGTACTATATCCACACCAGATCACATGGGACAAAGACATTTCAGTTCAAGAAGGAAAAAATTCAAACATGTCAGAGAGTGTAAAGACTAGCTGGAACATTTTCTGTACTAATGAATTATGGCGGTGTATTTAATTTTCCAGACATGAAGGATGGAAATGGAAATGTAAATTTACTTGAGACAAGTAGCTCCTAAAATGTTCAGAGTATTTTTTTTTCTTTTCCAATATAAGTACCTGCTAGTTTACGTCACTCCTGACAGTTCAATTGTATGTCTCTCGAATACCTTCAGAAAGCAGAGTTCATAAAATACTCTCCCGTTTGACCAAGGTATTTCCTGAATATTCATTAAATATTGCAATGTATAGCTAAGGTAGCTAGGTCCTGACCTAAAGTCAGGAATTTTCCTGACTAAAATTCTTGGCTTGTAGAAAAATGCATGAAGGAGGTCTGTGAATATATGCAGTTTGGAAGATGAAATGGCATGAAGTCCAGCATCGTGATACATAGTGATTAGAAGAATGTGCTATGTCAATAACTTTCTGAAGTATCGTAGTTAATGGTGATGCAATTGTTCTGTTATGACTAAAGATAAAGGAGCATTACGATTTGATTCTAAAAGGAGCACCTGGAGGAACACTTCCTTCCTTGACACTTGGTTTGGATGGCTATACACACAAGTATTCCTCCACTCCTGAGATCAGCCACCTCTATCTGTCTGCCTACATAAAAGTGCTAGAACTTTTTCTACTTTTCTTTGATAGTTCAGGCCAAAGTGCCATTTAAGTGACTTATACCCACCTCTAACCCGATCCTTTCTCCTCCCACCTTACCCTGGTCCCTTGGAGTATGAAAACCAGTCAGTTTTTCTCTGGCTATTGTGTTCAGATTCAGCAGAAGTTACAGGCACTTTCGGAAGAGAAGGAGAATGTCTACAATGAATGGAAACGGAAGAAGGAGTGGCTGGAGAAAATACACCAAGAACAGATGTTCTACAAAGATTGGGATCACCTGGACAAGCTCCTGAACTCACAGGAAGTAAGTGAATTTATAAACTTGAAATAAGCAGCTAAACTCTTTAAGCAGGTGAACTCTTCCAGTCTAAAAATGGCATTACTATTCAATTGCAACTTAAAATCCTTGAGTTTGGATATAGATAAGATATTCTTTCTGTTAATATTATTTGCATTGGCGTATCACTTTGGAGACTGTAGAAATGTACCAAGATCCCTCCCTGTTTTGTGGAGGAGAAAAGTAAAAACAAAAATCCTGGTCTCAAAATGATTTCTTGCATATAAACATAACCTAAAAGCTAGTAGATGAACCTGAAGAGCCATGATGGAAGGAGAAGAAAATGGTATAGTATTAGTCCATGTGGCAAGCAGAGATCTCAGCATACCACTGCAGAACCATTAACAAATTGTTTCATAGGCTTCAGAGAGAAAGGAAATTGTAAATTAAGTTTCAAAGGAGGATAGGGAGATTTCTTTTCAGGTGTGGCTGAAGAGGTCCCCAAGGCAGAGGGATGAGTATTGAGCAAATACAGCTGGTGGAAATTTGATGTTGACAGTGTAAGTTACTGAGGTACAGGATGGGAAGTAGTTGCTTCTGTTGATGCAGTAAAGAAAAGTGAGCTCATGGAGTCATGAAAAGAGCAGGCTAACATCATTAATGCCAAAAGCCTGTGGGTTGTTCCTTGTAGCATCATTCCACAGCTCTTGAAATATATTTTCTCATGAATATTAAATTATCTTTTCTCTTTTCTGCTCTTTCCTGGATTCATGGAAACTATTTAATAAAATAGTTCCTGCTTGAAGTCTGACATTTGCTATCGCAAGTCTATGAGTGCAGGACTCAGATGTCCTTTCCAGATGCTCTGTGCAAAATCATAGAGTGATGGATTGCAGTAGCCCTGCTGAGCCTTGGGGTACTCACCACAGTGTAGGGTTGAGGTCTGCTGAACTGAAGGGTTAAAGCAAAACTGCAGAAAGTTAGAACCTTAGAGTCGTTCCTTATTATGGAAAAATCACTCTTAATTTTTCCGGACAAATGGCAGCATGAAAGAATGACTCCTTATTTGATTTGTGACTTTGGTTCCCACCAGTGCTTTTCCACTGGCACCTTTCGGGAAAGTGACCCTGAGGTGAGCTGTGCAGTGATACTTAACCTTTTGGAACTCGTGGGCCTTTTGCTGCCTGCTGAATGCAGGAAACGTGTAACTTCAGAGTTCCCAAACTGTGACACCTTTGGCTAATTCGGCCTGCGCCCTGATTTTTCATTAAAATCTGAGATCAAGAGAGTTTCTTCTGGCTTCAAGTTTTGGCAGTAAAATCTTATATAGTCCTGCTAGTTAAAAAATTTTAATTGGTTTCTTAATTAACGTTTGACAACTGAGAAGTTGCATAATATCTAGCTCCACTACCTACCATGCAGTGATACATCACTGCTAAGCTCCTTTATGAGTAACATCATCAGAAAAATGCAAGCTCTACAGAATTTTGACCACTGTATTCTTTCTCTTGTCGTGAAATGGAGCTCAGCCAATATGCAGGTACACTGAATACAGCATCTGTTTTGCATTATACACCTCAAAGGTGAATGTGCAGCATAGATGCTAAGGGCTTATGTGTCTTCTTGTCCCCAGTTATGACTACTAGTCATAAAAGATTATATTACTCTTACATGAAAGGATGCACCTGGCAATTCTACTATGCCCCTGGCACATCCTGTACAGTTAAACAGCACTTCATATTACTGAGTTTTTCCATTGCTATGTGCAGCAAAGTAGATGTGCACAAAAGGGAGGGTCTCCATCGTAGCCTGGGTAAAATCCCTTGCTTGGAGCAAGGAGGACTATGAAGACGAACTTGTCTCTTCTATGCGGGGAAAGAGAATGGGGAAGCTACAGTCGTGCTCACGAGCCCCCTGGTCCCCATCCAGTAATAAAAAAAAACAGCACTATGCTGGAGAAGAAAAGTCTAGCTGTGAAATGAACCATTAACAGTTTTCTTTTTCATTTCTGTATTTAATCCTGAGAAGATTATAGTTGATTGGAGCAGTGCTGCTTTCATAAGAGCTCTGTGCATGTAAAGAGTTACAGTTGTGTACTCGCAGAGTTAGATTTCTGAAACAGAAAAGCAGGTCACCGTTGTATGCACCAAATCTGATAATTAATGAAACGAACGACCAAATATCTGCTCAGATTGATCAGAGAGATAACAAAGCACTACAGATGATCAGTCTTGTAATATGGAGATCTCAGTCAGCCTTATGTCTCCTTTTTCACTAACAAACACAGTTGCTACCAGCACCTACCTATGATTATGCTTAGAAGAGATCATTATGGATTAGTGCGCAGACTTATTCTAGGAAATGTATGGGAATAGGAGAAATTGAGAGTTTGTTCATAGCCAAGGATGCAAAGAAATGGATCCTCAATGAGCTATGAGCTCTCAGAATGAATTTGGACACTCACCGCTTCTCTATATACCACTTAACACAGTATTGGAAAAAGCTTTTCCTTCAGAAATTACTCATTTTTCTTCATAATGATGACTCACTCCTGTGATGTCCCTTCTGGTCGTCTTGGTGTTAATTTACAGTTGAAATCCCTTTCACATAGCACTAAAATGCCATGAAGAAAAGGCAGCTGACCAGGAACATCAGCTTGCCTCATAGCTAAAGAGCATTGGTGGAGGCACATCTCAACTGTATTTCACAAATACTACTGCACCTTGTTCATTTTAAATCAGAGTTTGGATGTCTTTAAGTTACTTTTCCTGACTTGGGCCCTCGCTGTGTTGAAGATCACCTCAATGTCTCGTGTCATCCAGAACTGTCCGCAGTGAGTAGAAACATGGAGAGCAAGTTTGGACTGTCACAAGGCTGTAAAGGCACTTTTACAGAGGCACGTTTACTGCTGTTAGCGAAGGAAGAGAAATGAATTTCCTTTTCTGGACTCCACTTCTTCCTTAATATGCAGTACATCGGCCTGGCAGCTACTAGAGGCACCAACACTCATGCTATTCCTCTACAGCTAGAACCTCTGCCCACATGGCTTTTGTTTCCCTTCTGGGCATCAGTTCTTCATGCAGGCTGTTCCTGTGCTGCAGGACTCCCACCTGAACAAGGGAGAAATAGCAAGGAGGGCAAAGCTCAGGCACCATCTGCTTCCTGGGCTATAATCTGACAACAAACTGAGGGTCATTCCCAATTCTTCTATTCCCAATTCTTATTTTATTTCTCGGTGTTTTAAGAACAAGTGTAAGAGGAATCTGTTGCTTTTGGAAGGATCTCTGTTACTACTATAGGGAGTTAAAATGAGGCTGCAGAGTGACGCAGACCCTGCTCCCAGGGAGACCGGCAGGAGGGTAGGAAAGCAGTCCTTTCAAAGGCATTTTGGAAAACTATTCAGACCAGACACCAGCTGGAGACTTCCAAACCACTTTTCCAATGGGAATTTTGTCTCTTGCTGCCTTCAGAATGGACAGAAGCAAACAGGCATTTGAAAAGGTTTCTCATCAGGCAGACAAATACCAGCAATTTCTCCAAACCCTGTGTTTCTTCTGACTTCTCTGTTTGGGGCAATGCTCATTGCGTGCATTTCACAGTTGCACATCTGTGAAATGTGTGTAAGAAAGCAGCATCTGTCATCCCATAATTATCAGGTCCTACTTATCCAGAACAAACTTCATACGTTTTTGAGCCAGTCCCTCCCAGCGGCAAGGAACAGCGAAAGGAGCAAAGTAGCACTGGCGTGTTTTAAACTAAGAACTGCTACTAAGAGCTGCTCTCTCATTCGTTCTCTGTGCCAGTGTGACAGGTTTGACTTCATGCCAGCATCTTATATTACAGCCAAGTTACTTAAACCTTTGAAAGATTTCTGCAGAATTTAGTCTAGAATTGTTCTATGCTAAAGAAAATAGCGCACATGTGGAGAAAATTAGGCAAGTATCTATCTTTTTTATTTTTTTTTATTTTGAATTCAGTTGTGCCATTGCATGGAATTGCTGTAGGAAAGTCTCCTAAGACCTATGAAGTGAGAGCTTGCCATTTTGAGTGCTGACAAGCAACAGCTGAAAGAGCGAAGGAAGAAAAAATCAGTTTTGTTTTGAGCAGAAGTAGCACCCCGTGCACTGCTCCATTCTAACCTTTTTGCAGCAACAGATGCATTGCTCAGGTTAGCTGCTTTCATTTTTTTCACAGATGAAATAACAGCAAGTTCACGGGCTGTCTCTGGCAAGCATTTTTGGCTCCCTCCTCCTCTGTCTGCAGTCTCGCTGTCAGAACACTCAGGGAGCAGAGCCTCATGCTCTGTAATTTATCTTTCCTCCCATCCCACTCTCATATCATTTTGCAGACGTGATAGGCGGTGGTGGCAGTTCTAGAAGAGCTTTACTTTTTATTTTGAATGTGGATTTTTTTATATCTTTTTTTTTTCCTGAAGAATGTTTATTAACCTCTTGTTCCTTCGCCTCAGTGGAAGAATGGAAATTTCCAGTGCCAAAGGAAAAAGGATTAGGCGTTGGTTTTAAAAACAGGAGGAAAGACAAGCTTTTGTGGCTTTGGTTTTGCACCTTTTAGGACTAAGCTGCAGAATGTCATTCAGGGGCCATCGCTGCAAACTTCCATCTGCACCCGTCTATGTCTCCACGGTGGAAGTGATGCTGTCTTCCAGCAGAATGACCCCACCGCCGTCTTTTGAATCTGTTGTGCAGGACAGGCCTTTCCAAAAAATGCCAGCATCGGCGTGCTGCCTTCCTGCTGGTCAAGCAGACGGAGAGATCACTCCAGCAAGTGCCAGCTCACCTCCAAGCAGTCCAGGAGCTTACTGCACAAGGCTAGATGTCATCCTGGCACAGAAAGAGCCGAGGAAAGGTTTGGGGAACACTAGTCATTGCGTTGAGCCTTCCGATGCGACGTCGAGGTGGTCCAGCCCTCCCAGAGACACTCAGGGCAGTGGATATGGGGAATCTGCCACTTGGTCAACACCTGCATCTTACAAGCAACATTCAGAGAGAGATAAAAGTGTTCATCAG